ATTTTACAGATGTGTTAATTTACTTTACATTCAGTTATTAGTAATTGAACAATAAATATGTAATTCAAAACACATACCATATTAGGAAGGATGGATAGTGGGTAGCAGTGGAATTCAGGAGGCGCGCGTAGTCCTGTTTGGGACTCGTCAACTGGATATACCTGCATTTCAGAGTTGATGTTCACTCCGGGACTCGAGTTCAGTACTGTACGCTTCAAACGCCATCATGTTATTCACTTAGCTACTGAGTTCTCATAGACACTATCCATCTTTGCTCATAATGCTTGTAAATTGGGGCTATGTCGAGGAAGTACGCATATGCCGATACGAGACTGATCAATTGTAGTCCTAAACATCAATGGGACGATTCAACCAAGCCATAACAAGTGAACATACCATATTAGTTTAAATAGAATCCATACGCAGTGGACCATTTCAGAATCTCTCAATAAGTAATGGTTACACATGTATTAACATCTTCTGAATTTCATTTTTATTAGACACTGAAGAGGATCTGACACAAGAGAGTGATGAAGATGACGATGGTAAGTTATTTGCTTATTGAATCATGTAAACATATATTAAATGACTTGGTTTTGGGAAGGTCACTTTAAAAATTTAGGTCATATTTATCAAGGTTTGATGAAATTCGGACTTGCGCACTATACAATAACGAATCGATGATCTAATAGTTAGGCTCTGATAGTCTCACATTCGATCCTTTTGATGGGTTAGTTGATAGGTCCAGATGAGTTATCTCATTTTCAATGGTGTCACAGGTGAGATTAATCCGTCAACAATACAAACTACATTAGTTAATTTACTCCTGATGATGTTCGTTGTAATAGTTTCTAAGTTTATAGACAGAAATTATAATATTAGGAAACATTTTCTATCTATAAATTGGTTGATATTATCCTAAAGATCCTTTCAAAACTGTCTTTGAATACACCGGTGAATAAACTGTTGTCGGATCTATAGGAAATTGTGAGTTCACATATTATTGTAAACACAAAATGAAGATGGATAGGAAGCAGTATAGTGAGAATTACAGAATTGCCTGTTATCTGGTGCTGAACATCTGTTACCGATAATGATTGATTGTTTGTTTGTTTGTTTTGCTACAATGAATGATATGTTTTCCTAACAATCAGATAAACGTCAACTCACTTTAATGATGATAAGCGTTCATCCTACAATCAACCATTGTATTCTCCACTTTTCCAGATAACTCAAACTCCAATATAATAGACGAAGAGCAAAGTAAATCATTTTATTCTTATTTTGAGTTTGTTCGACTTTCAATAAACATTATTTGTAAAGCACCCATCAGAACATCGGTTATATGATGACAAAATTGTCACATTACTACCTGTTGTATTTCAAATGATCCCAATCACTTATTTGTTTAAATTGAATTTTAAACAACATTGCTTTCTTACCAACACCAACTGTCCCTCGTGGATCATAGGCTGCTGACCAGGATTCTCCATCCAACTTTATCCTGGACTCGTCACCCCAGTTCTCTACAGGTGTTTTTCATTCATTTCGTTACACAATTTCCTCTCAATATTTGATTTTCAATCCGTGACAATATACTATTTTGAGATTTTGTAAATATAAAGCAACTTTCTACCGTACTGTAGAATACAGTTTCGGCAAATGGAACTAATTCTAAATACGATTGTACAGCTTAGACGAAATGGTCGAAGAGAAAATTTTCTTCACTGAATTGTCCACTATCTTCCTAATAATTGAATTTTAAACGAATATTCTAGTTTCTCAGATGATATGAATAATGCATCTAAACCACTTATAACCTTTCATTTATGAATTCCATAATTCATTCGGTTTCCTCATTGTATATACAGAACAAGAATTACTGCAATGGCTGGAAAGTAAACGGCGTAAGTTATAAATCCGAGTTGAGAAATTGTTTCGAAATTTGAATTCCTTCTCAGTTCACTCCAGTAGGTGTATATTAATTGAACAATGCTATCACTACCTGGAATACAACATAATTAACATTATGTATAATGGACATTCATTAAATCTTACATTCTTCATAATATCTTATATGAGTTAATTTCAAAAAGCATATCGACTATGTTCTTCATTTAGGTGCGTATTTTTCGACGGGTAATCAAACTACTACTCAGTACGTTCTATTTTACTCAAAACTATTACTAAACGTAATTTAATCTTGTTGTATGAATAAAAGATGTTTTCTCAATACATAGTTGCATATTTAACTACACTAATCTAATCAGATAGAAAAACAGTCATTAGTTGCTATATACTTTATGGGTGCCAGTTTAAGATGACTAGTACGTTAATCAACACATTACACTTTTACAACAGATCAGACAAGTTTAGAACTGGAACACTGATAAGTCTTACTGATTGAACGCTATACTCAGATCCCGATCTGCTCTCGTAATCTTCAAGCTAGAATTAAAACAGCGACTTGACCACGAGAGAAAAGGCACAAAATATGCAGCAAGCACTTTACTCCAAACGTTCATTTATGTACAGAAAGTATAGGGCTTTTATAGTATTTTAGAAGTCCTTGGGTTTTCCTCAAAATTCTCGAAAGCTATTAAACATAGCAGCCGTGTAGTAATCAGCCAATCAGAAACTCGACATGTGACTTTTCACTTTCGTGATGTTTCCAGTCAAACTCTGAGTGGATAAAATACTTCTTGATGTTTCCTTAGTTTATCATGTCTATTGCGAGAAATTTTCTGGATCATCCCAACAAAGACATTGCGTACTTTACATGTTAATACAACTATAATAATATGCCATATCATTTACATATAGTTTATATACACCAGTGCTATTATTCATCTCCATGTAGATCTCTACATAACAACTGAATATGAAGACAGTGTAGAACAGAGAAACGTATTTGAATTTCGTCAACAGCATGAACTAGCTTGTCTATTAAGCAAACCTCACTAGACGTTGTCACATTGAATGATACAAGCTATGCTACTTTTCATGTGATTCATTCGAACAACACAACATATTACTGTATGAAACGGTAATCATAACTCCGGACCATTTATCCAACACTCATTCACATGCAAGTATCACAGTGAACATTTATTTACTACTTTTATTCATGATAATAATTAGACCGAATAGCTATTTTGCCTAGTTTTACATAATGTACTTCTTAAAAATAAAAAACAAACATTGGAAACCCATTTGTTAAATCAGATACCCGGTACAAATTAGTGTATGTTACTTTGAATCATTACCCATGTGTATATGAGCTATATTGAATATATCTGATTGTCGAAAGCGAATTAGGCGTAGACACCATCGGATCTGTAATATAACAGCCAACAGTTGAACATTTTAATCATTTAGACACTGTCACAGCAACAAAACTGAATAATTCTTAATTGCTTCTTTTCATTGTAGATAAATGAATGTGGACAACTAACAATGGAAGTTTAATTAAAATAAACATTTCAATTAAGGATCTTTTGTTTGTTCTCTTTACATTTTCGAAATAATCCATCGTAATTCGATGTGGTACATATCTAAGCTGTGTAACGTCGTGATTGACTTTCTCGGAAACATACTGCCAAGTGCCATATAGTTTATACGACCTAGTTTGTATAACGATGAACTCTATTCATTCATAGGGTATAACAGCAAAATATATACTTGCTAAACAAATACAAACAGTCACGACAGAATGTCTACGATATTCACCTTCATATTGAAGCCTATTTTATGACATCTACATTGATGATCATCGTTTCAATAAGTGGTTTTGATAAGAGTTATACTAACACAATACCTGACATAACAATCTTTACTACTGTGACTCATTTACACCTAGAAAAAAGAGCTTCAACACTGCATTCATTTCCTTTTTAATTCAGCTTCTTGCTATGAACTACACCTGATTTGGCCATCTCTTCCCATGTATTCCTATTATTAGAACATACTGCAGATGTCTAATAAATATTCGAGAATTGACAAATAAGCACTGTGTTTGGAAGTACATACTTATATCCAAGAAGTTTCGATGAAATACAAAATCAACATCAACGTAACCATACAATGCTTAAATAGATATTCGTTAAAACAATTTTGACTATTACGTATAACAGTTTTCAATCCTGAGAAATGTAACAATACTGATTCACTCAGTTAAATGAAGATATTGTAGGATTTCCTGAACGAAACCCGACAACCACATAGAAATACTCACACCCGATAACTAATCAGTACTCCATAGTTTGCTTTTAACTACCCATCATGTTATAATCTAGATCAATAGAATCAACCAACTATCAGCACCCCACACCTAGGTTCATGTACTAAATACATCATAACGAAAAGGGGAAAACCATGTTAGACGGTTGGAGGTAGTTGACAAGAAACCCTGAATCTGGGGTTCATGGTACTTGGAACTCTTCAGAAAAGTGTACCTGTAACTAGGCCAATAAAATCCGGTCAGCGCTGTATATAAAACTAGAAAAATGTGAAAAATGTGGCCACTACTAAGTGATCAATCAACTATAAGTCGGTTGCGATCCGAAAACATCTCTGATTCTGAAGCCGAGCGATACGGGATAGCTCACATCAGAGAGCATCAGTTACCTCAAGATGACAGGTACACCGTGGTGATGGATACCACATAGGACTAAATCTAGGTTCACAGTTTCCTGTCCACTACTAGTAACCACCATCTAGTATCCCATCATGGTGCACGCGATAGTGAATCACATGTAGACTAGAGGCCACATTGGTAATTGATCGACAGAATATATTCAAAGCTAACTACGAGACTAAACAAACATAACATTAACATCTATTCAATGATCAATCGATTGTAAGAGAAAGGAAATTTAGATTCAGTTCTTTATAAATCGTATAAACTGTAAACAAAATATGTAGAAATAAGTTGCACAATCTGAAGAAACCATTCAATAACAAAATAATATATAAATAAACTTTAATGCAAAAATATAAATGTAGAAATGCTGTACATCAACGTCTATTTGAATCTCCTCTCTCAGTGATTAAAACAACAATCATATTTATGTCATTACAAAAACTTTATGCAATGCAACTCGTTTATACTTAATATCAACACTCGATACAGTAGCTTTGATTCGATCACCTAAACGTAAAGTGAACATTTTGTGATGAATATCACCGCCATCACTGACGCCAATCCCAGTGGTAGACGTTCCACTGGTAATCTTTAGGTTAGATGTTGAACAATTTCGAGGATATTCATGTCTTGGAATGTAGGCATTTTCTTCAACACCAATGTCACAGAATGCACCAAAAGTAGTGACATTCTCTACACGACCTTTCACTTGCATACCTTTACGTAAATCCGATATTTTCATTACGGTCGAATGAAACAATGGAGTAAAACAGTCTAAAATAGAATAAAACCATGTCGATTTATGAAGGGTTATAGTAATTGGACAAATATTATTAAATAAATGACAAATACACTTCAGCAGCAAGGCACTCTACTACTACTACTACTACTGATAAAAACGTTTATGAGATTAAGGCCTCATGACTCACATGTACAGTTCTTGGTAGTCGGGATTTAAAGATAAGCCAGAAGGGAGTAAGGAAATATAAATTATACAAAAGCATAATAACAATATTGTGGGAGAAATAGAAGAGAGGAAATGGCGTGAACGAAGGATAAGTAACAAACAATACACAATTCTTGTAAGAAACCAACGAAACCAGATTGTATTCATCTAAAAAAAACCTGTTTGGTTAACGATGGATGTGATAGTAAACTAGACCAGGATAGTTTATAGGCATTTATTCGAAGCAAAACATGAGAGCATTTCTAAATTTCTAAATAACCCAATTCGTAGAATCACATTTAGAAGGGTGTCATATGTCAATGGGTATTTGGAGGTGAAACGTTGTCAGTATACAATTACCGAACATCTTCAGCTATGATAGATCACGTTTCTAAACTGACTAACCACTAAACATTTACCTCAAACAAAAGTCTCAACAAAGTAAATCTTATTAAACAAATATATGGCAATAATCATACCTTGACGCTCATCGAAATCCAAAGGACGTGTTAGTGCTACGAGAATATCACGTAAAGTATCAAGTCCAACAGTTTTCGAACAAAACTGTTCAAGTCGTTTATCTCCTATACGAACAAACAAAGAAAAATGATACATTTTTAAACATTCAAATTATCAGTACACTAGAATACTTCTTTACATGAAATCATCCTTCCAATTTATGATTCATTTCATTAGATGAGTGCAAATAACTCATCAAAAAATAACATTAGAACATGCTATTTTCCCCACAACAGTAACATATAGAAAGCAAAAAAAACCACTCACTATCTTCACTGATCATAAACTGTGTTGCGGCTGTTCTCATTTTCATCGACCCTACATCTGTCAGATTTAATTGGAGCAATGAAATAATACTGAAATAAAGAAGATTACAATAGGTGAAAAACATTAGTAAATTATGACAAAATGAAACTGAGGTACTTTGTCTACATGATACATATTACTAGCTAATATTCAATTCAATACAATAAAAATTGACGTAACTTAGTAATCAAGTGAACACACTCTATGGAAATGAATTCGGTTACCTAAACCGAAGTAGGTAGACATGGGTTCGACTACGAAATGAATATTTAACATCTAAACGAATAACTAGTGAACGGATGGCATTATGGTACTGATAGGTAAATGCGACCACAACTAGTATATTTATTCGCAAACATACATAAACACACCAGTAGCAGTTACATAAATACATATACACCACGCCATGACAATGAGGATAGGATTTGTGTGAGCGCTGTGATACTCCTCAGGTGCCCAAAACGAAGCAGGTGGATTCTCTTAGGCAATCACTCTCCAAGCCTTTATTCCAGAGGTCTAGTCCATGAGGAGATGAAGAAACGTTAGGAGATGGGGTCTCATGGTAGCTGATCGCCAACAATAGGTTCATACGCCATTCGTATCGTCAGGATACAGGAGCCCGTGTGCACCATTGGTTTGGAATCACTAATTTCCAACTCCCCTAGATGGACCCTCCATATCCATCACACGGTTAAAGCTCCGGACATTCGATTTCTGTCCTCTCAATTTCGTAAACAACACCCCTGCTGTGAGAAGGCGATGAGTATGATTTCACTGATAGTGGCTGTATGCACGTGGCCATGTGAGAGCATTTCGAGAGGGTGAGCTGACACTCTCCACCCTCGGTCGTACTAGGCCATAATTATTTCCACTGAGACACTTCATTTGTTTAAACTAATTTTAATAGTGATACAATTAATTCACTATGTACAAACTTATGTGTGAAGGTAAAGTCATGCTAATGACTTTACGGATATGAGATAGGAGTACAATATTTCCTTCAAAGAACTAGTCTAAAGAGACACTGCCTTCCTGTGATGGAAAGAAACGGTCAGAAAACACGATTCATAAAATCAACACTCATCATCTAACAGGCCAGGGGACTTCTATCTCCGTAGGTAAGACCTTTGAAGGTGCTAACTGTAATATCTACAACTATGCATAAAAACGCTGTGTGTCACTGATTTTGATCAGCTGGCCCTTGAACTCTCGGTTCATGTTTCCATTTAGTCAAGACAATGACTAATCCAGTTCACATTACAGCTGTTTTCGTTAAAAAGAAGTATCCATTCACGTGGTGTGGACAACTGAAAAGTGACAATTACTCACATATCCATAACAGCACTCGAGATCATCCCATAGGTTTATACAATAAACAATTACAATACTTTCTGAGAGAATACAACAAACTCACTTTGCTGCAACTTCATATGAATCAGGATGAACAGCAGTCTGGTCTAATGGATTAAAACAATTCACATCGGATTGATCAGTAACTGTTACGTCCATAATTCGTCGTTTTTTACATTTCTTGTTTGATTCATTAGATATATGTTTACGTTTAGTGCTACCAGTGAAAATATTGGTTATTTGAGTATCACAAGTTAAATCATCACCATCATTATCATCACCACTCGAAATAGAAATCATTTCAACATCCCTAAATTGTTAATGAGTGTCGAAAAATAAGGGAAATAAACAGTGAAAAAAAAAACAAAGTGCTAATTGTTTTCAGTACAAACACATGAAACAGAATGTATACACACTAATACACACTTATATAACAAGCATCCAGGGCAGTGTAAAGCATAAAACAAAAATTTCGCTTCTCTTATATTTAGTAAGAAAAACATTTGGAACATGAAATCACTTGACAGCTATTTCGTCTTCATATGTGACTCCTCAGCAGTATGCATTCACAAAACCATCGGATATCGAACACAAAATACATAAGTCTATTGTGGCGAGCGCCTAAACTTCATATCACCAAATCGACCACTAGTGGTTAACATTTCTAACCATAGTCATTTTGCAACATTGCGCAACCATCTACCAATGTCATTAGTGAGTAACGGGCTTGAACCAAACATGGTTGAACTACGCTGTTAACCGGTTTTCACTATGATTCTGAGAATTACGTCTCAAAATTAGTTACTAGCGAACATATGATTAATGCTTGTGTGAAAGGTTTGTGGAGAATAGTTTACTGTAAAAGAGTTTTCGTTCATAGGATTCCGAGATTATTGGCCAAAAGGTAACGCCTTCTCAGTGAAACTTGGATATCCTTGAAAATGATTCAAGGTAGAGATATCTGGATGCATAAAGATGGAGAAACCTACACTAAGACGATATAACTAGTTAATCGTCTTTATTTTAACTGCAATGTTTCCCGTTAGGTAAGTCACAGATTGCACGACCTGATTATCGACTAATCCAAACACCTCGCAATGCATCCAGATATTAAATTACGTAAATTACGTAATTTATTGAGTTTAAAAACCATGAATCATGAGAAATTACAAATTCAATAGGAAATACAATATTTATGGACAATGTCAAGACAACTTGTAAAGTTGAGAGTGTATCAATAACATACAAGTGGAAAGGAGATGTAGATTACTTCATTTGGATTAAGGGCCATAAATGCGATCATTGGATAAAAATAAGTTGAGTGATATGGCTCAGAATCAGACGAAATGGAGAAAATCCAGTCACTTTCTATACTTACACACATCTTAAGTCTCGATATTTATACACACATATCTTTTCATTCTATATTCTCAAATCATACTCACAATATTAGAATATATCTTCCGATTTTCACCTAGTCATGTAGAAGTAGTATGACAATCTGAGCTAACGTGTAATTGTAACGGGCTCCACATTGGTTATCACTGATGACTGACTAGATTAGACCTTTAGGGTAAAGGTGAATCCATTAGTATGCAAGTCTAATAAAACGATGAATATTTACTTGAGGGACATTTTTACAACTTGGAGTTCACACACTGTTACCCATTGATGACAATTACAATTTTATTACATAACTAATGGAAAGATGTAAAAGCAAGCTTACTTAGTCCCATCTAAAGTAGTTGTAGAATAGGTGGGTTTGACACGTACAAATCCAGCACATTGAGCGAATGTAGCTTGTCCAATACCTTTAACCTAAAATAAAAACCGTTATCCATAAATTACCCTGATTAACTACTTACAATTCAACTTGAATGTAAAAGATGACAGTCGGAATAATTTATCTCCCATCAAACTTTCTGACATCGCACGGAAGTCGCTGATTAATGATTATCATTCCCCAAACTTAAAGCCTACACAGTATCTAGTTTCACAACCACATCTTTATTGGGAAACCATAATATACAAGACAATCATCAACTACACAATATGAAACAAGTAACCCATCATTTAAAAACGTCCTTCTATGCACTAACGTGACTACTAAACAATCCCAGTGTAACATTTACAAACATACTACATCGAATGAAACACTATCAACGTAACACAAACTAAAAATACCATAGAATGTCTTGAAATAGAATTCTTTTATTGTTATTTAAAGATACTACTGATGAACATCAAACATCTCTAGGATTTCTCGAGTAATTCGTCCCATCAATCATACATATTCATTGAAAATGAACTTCATTGACATGATAAGTTCATAGAAAATCACAGTGGCTAAATAGTACAATATACCTTAATAAATGAGAAGAGAACTGAAGTAATCTACCATGAAATCAAGACCAGTAATAATCTTTAATATTGCATATTTACTTTACAAAATAAACTGATTCACATATTAAACTACTACACTATGAATTTGAAATTTTACATGGTGGACTGATTTCAGTTAGGACAATACTTGAAAAACCAGAATGAAATAGTTTTCCACTAGTCTTTATGGTTTTCCACTAGTTGTTTAACTCAAGTAAATTCGCGATGTGAAACTTTGAATTCATAAATCTCGACAACACACATAAATACCTTTTAAGTTAACGTTCAAGATATCGTGTGATACTTTACAACTCAGTAAGTTCAGGTCAATCGTCAAATTCTTCAACCTTTATGACTAAAATTCAAGTGTTGAAACCATTGAACCATAAGACCAAATGACAACGTGGTGAATCCAGTCTGTCATATGCTAATAGTCAAGATCGACAGCTATGTTCCATCCTGAATGGATTATTTACATTTCTAACGTCTACATTTACATGTGACAACCTTAATCACTATCACCATTTATAAATACACGTGACGTGTTATATGATTCGACTTTTCGAACGATACATAAATACTCTATTCCACCCTGTTCAATAAACTAACAAACTGGTTTGTTACGGTCACTATTTACGGGATAAATGTAAACCGCTTATACTTAATCAAAAGACCTTATTATGTGGTCTGTTGAGAATTTCCATAGACAATGGACTACTGAACACTAAATCTGCGCGATTTGGCACAAACATCCTAACACATGAAGAAGAATTGAACGTTAGATAGAATGAAGCACCTTAGAGTAAATTTCAGTTTACCATGAACAGGTCAAAACTGGTGACGGACCATGGTTTCGCAATTATAAAATGAAAAAAGTCAGCTCGAGGTACTTAGATAAGACTGCGAGGAGTAATCTATACTACTCAAATCGAAGTAAATGGAATGTGGTTTGAACCCGTGATTTATAGATGTAAAGTTGAATGTGGGTATAACAAAGTCTTTGATTCCTCAAAATTCTCAGGAATATTTTAAATAATGGAAACGAAGGCGGAACGAATATAATACTACAAAATGAAGGATACTTTAAGAGGAATAGAATTATTGTGTACCAAATTTTACAAAAATAACTTCTACAACCTTATTTGGTGTATTTATTGGCCAGGATACATATCTAATTAATTGTTATGGGTAATACAGGAAACTTCACACTTTCTAGGAACTGATAAAATTATTGAAATCAAGTTCACAACAGCCTAACTGTTAGGGAATTCTCAACTATTCATCGAAAAAGTCCGGAGAGGTCTTGATAACGCTGAGAAACACTTTATCCAACCAGAGCTGAATTGAAGTTTCCCAGAAACATCGAGAAAGTGAAGTCACATATCACATTTCTCATTGGACAACTATCATTCCTGCTACCATAAATAGTACGGTTCCAGAAACTTCCAGATGCACAAGGCCATCTGAAATAATATAAATACCCTCGATTTCCTGTATATAAAATAACGTTGGAGTAAAACGTTTTTTCTACACTTGACGCCTTTTCTCTCGTGTTCAAGTTGCTTTTTAGACTTAGCCTGGGTTATTAAAAGAGCCCAAGAAACCGATTCAAACGTTCATTTAGAAGATTTATCACTCACATGTCACTACTCACAGTCATGGACTAATAATAGTTCATTTGAATCAAGAAATCCCCTGTAATACTTATTAAATGGAGAAGAAACTCACATTTTGTAACTACATTACTAAACTTGCTATGTTACTACTATCAATTGGTCAAATATTCTTTCTAAATAATTCAACTTGTAACATAATGTAAATAACACTTCAAGACCAGTTAACAACCATTTATTATTTTATCAATTGTATTCGTTATAGATTGATATTAGTTGGAGTACCACTGAAAAACAGGAAACACTAGGATAGATTTTTTATATGGAACCCCTCGGCAACGAGCAACCATGACAGCAATATGGTTTGCATCTAGAACTATAAGGTTTCGAAGTGAACTGTTATTCATTAGGATCACTGCATAGGTGTTTTTCATACAATTTCAATCTCGAACAATTTAAAATACAGTGTATGATCATCAAATTCCATTGGTATCAATTACATCTTTTCCGACATGTCATTATCTTCTACAGACTTCATTGTATATCTTGAACAACTTCCTCGATTAGATTTCTCCCATAAAATTTACAATATTCATTTAGTTTTATAGGTATACATAATACTTACCTTAAGAAGATCAGCTCTTGAACGGAAAGGACCAACTTGTGAACGATATGTTAAAATTGCTTTGGCTTTCATCTCAGATAAACCAGCAACACGTGATAAAATATGCAATGGGGCTGCATTCAAATCAACACCAACAAAACTTATGCATTCTTCCATAACATTATGAACAGCGGAAGTTAGTTGATTAACTGGTATATCGTGCTGATACATACCAACACCTAAATGTTTTGGTTCAAGTTTGACTAATTCAGCTAAAGGATCTTGTAAACGTCTAGCTATAGACACTGCACCACGGAAACTAACATTTAAATCTGGTAATTCTGTACAAGCTACCTTTGATGCACTGTAATATGAAGCACCACACTCACTCACAACAGCGTAACGAACATTTAAAGGTTTGAAATGTTGAATTTGTATTAAATATGCCAACCAGGAACCAGTTTGTCGACTACCTTGACCATTACCAAGAGCTATTGTCTCGATTCTAAGATAAATATAAAAAAGTAAATACGATATAAGCTAGTGATAATTTGCTAGCACGATAGAGCTATTGAATATTGCATAATTAAGTCAAGATCGCATTCAAGTATACTGATTCAAACGATACTAGAAAATTCATATGTAAATTTTTTACAAACTCTAGTGTTTTGGGTTCACAAATGCCCTGGTACTGTACTCCTATCTCATATCCGTAAAGTCAATAGCATGACTTTGCCTTCACACATAAGTTTGTATTTAGTGAATTAATTGTATCACTATTGAAATTAGTTTAGGCAAATGAAGTGTCTCAGTGGAAAGAAATATGCCCTGGTACGACCGAGGGTGGAGAGAGTCAGCTCTCCCTCTCGAAATGCTCTCACATGGCCACGTGCATACAGCCACTATCAGTGAAATCATACTCATCGCCTTCTCACAGCAGGGGTGTTGTTTACGAAATTGAGAGGACAGAAATCGAATGTCCGGAGCTTTAACCGTGTGATGGATATGGAGGGTCCATCTAGGGGAGTTGGAAATTAGTGATTCCAAACCAATGGTGCACACGGGCTCCTGTATCCTGACGATACGAATGGCGTATGAACCTATTGTTGGTGATCAGCTACCATGAGACCCCATCTCCTAACGTTTCTTCATCTCCTCATGGACTAGACCTCTGGAATAAAGGCTTGGAGAGTGATTGCCTAAGGGAATCTATCTGTTTAGGTCTGGGCATCCGGACAGTATTCCAATCCTTAGATAAATCGAATGACAAAGTGTGAAGCATATATATTTGGTGCTTCCTTGAACCAACGTTTATGTATTTAAATGAATAAATAAGTGAAAATATATTTTACCACTACATATTCTGTTATTTAGGATAGACATTTATTTGCTTTTACTTCGTATTCTAATTTGGAACTACTCAATTGTAGTATTGTGTTTAAAATATGTTAGACAGTAGAATTACAACACATTTTATGTCCCAGATAGCACATTAACGAAAGCTTAATATAGAAGTGAGCTTTGCAGATTTTTTACAAGTATTTTATAGAGGCTACCATAACTGACCGATAAAACGCTCGTGAAACAAGTGAAAAGCTCACTGTTATATTAAGCTGACACTGATTATATGATACCTAGAACCCTAATGAAGGCTCTGAAATTAAACTAACCAGCTCTGAGAACACAACACCATCAAAATATCAGTTATTCGATATTTTTAGGTAGAAATTGTCTCAACAAAAATCGTAACCTTATTAATAAACATATACACGAAATTTGAAGTTGCATAGAAATATCATTGAATCTAACACAACAACTGATCCATGACAGTAGAATATAACTGCTCAAAAGTGTATTTGATAATACTTAACAGCAAAATACAACGCATCTCCCCTGATACGAAAGCCTATCTTTTAAGCTAAAATTCACACCGTTGTTATGAAACACAAAAAGTGGTTGTATGGTCGTGCTATTAATTGATTGAATCGATGCCAGATGACCGAATAACTATCGTGCACGAAGACGCAATTATTGATATTAAGTTCCAGAACATGATCACGTTAAAAAATAATAGCACAACTGGCTTGTATAGGCTTATTTCTAATTAGTAAAATAATACACTTATTGTACAGAATGTATGATAAAAAAATCATCAAAAAGAACACACAAACAGCATGGCCACTTGTCATAGAAAAATATCCATAGGTCATTGAGCATACAATAAAGTAAACAATTCGATATCAGCTAATTTCCCGTTTGTTAAGAAGACAGTAAATACAAATCAAAGTTATTATTTATTTAAACAAATAAAAATTGGTTCATGGAGGCACCAAATAGATATGCGCCACACTTTGTCATTCGATTTATGTGAGGGGTGAGATACTGTCCGGATGCCCAAACCGAAGCAGGTTTTCTTAGGGGTTCACTCCCTGAGCCTTTGACCTACAGGTTTAATCCACAAAGTAGGGGAGCAACGTTAGGAGATACAGCCCCATAGTAACAATAGGTTCATACGCCATTTGTGTCCTCAGGATACAGGAGCCCGGGTGCACCACCGGTTTGGAATCACGAGTCTCCAACTCCCCTAGATGGACCCTCCATATCCATCACACGGCTAAAGATCCGGACATTCGATTTTCGTCCTCTCAATTTCGTAAACAACACCCCTGCTGTGAGAAGGCGATGAGTATGATTTCACTGATAGTGGCTGTATGCACGTGGCCATGTGAGAGCATTTCGAGAGGGAGAGCTGACTCTCCCCACGCTCGGCTGTACCAGGGCATTCGGGGGCACAAAACAAGGTAAAGGAAACTGATGATCTTATCTATGTTAGGGAAAACAATAGACGTGTGATACCTAGTATGCCTCCCGGTAGCCAATGCACTAACGAATTGAGTAGGAGGTAATCGAATAGAGGTGTAACAGAGAGATAGAAGATCCTGATCTCTTTTGACTTTCATAGCACGGAATATTGGATACGAAGAAAGGGCGGATACACAGATACAAATGGATAGTATTTTAAACGGGTTAAAAAGAATGTGTCTTAAAGGCTGTAAAACAAAGTGTTTATATCCTTGAGTTGTATATTTATTGAACACTCACTTACCAGGCACACACTAGTGTATTCGGCTCCAAGTACGAAGGTTAACGATACTACTCAGTTCCTTAATTCGAAGAGTGTGAAGCATGGTTAGAAACTATAACTTGGTGGCTGAGTCGAACGCCTTAATTACCAATGTATCATTCAGACAGAATAAGTACGAGACTACACTGTAGGCCATAACGCAAAGTCTAGATATTTGAAACTTAAGACCAATTTTCGATCGACAATTATTAAAAAATGTCAATAAGCTACAGCAACATGAAAAAAAATTTTTACTGATGACGTTGCATAACTGCAGTCAATGCGCCCAAACCATTATTACTCATTGGTCCATTTTGCACGCTCAATTTCTTCGGTGGAATAACAGACAATGTATGCGGTGGCCATAAAATACCTGTGCTTAAAACATTTCCATGAGGATCACATGCAGCCCATTTACAACCATTTCTCCAGCCTGGATCTAATCCAATCACAGGAAGACGATCACCTGGTGCACCAGACGCTGAAGATATCATGCCAATGTCATTTTCATTTTTGACTGTGGAATCATTTGATAAAACTGGAATACGTAACGGAGCCGTCATTAGGAGGCGTCGAAGATTCTCTGAAAATACTTCAAGAGATGCATCTTGAGCTGAAGTTGTTAATTTAGTGCTATTTTAATCGAAAAAATAGACGAAGTTGTAAACTCTGGACCAAAATCATCAAAGAAATGTGCTTAGAAACGAAGAAATGCAGATATTACAATAATAGGGTTTACGTTGGGTTCAATCACTTAACCTCTTTAATACCTTTAATTATTGTAACAAAAACACTTTAATTACCTTACTCCATTCACATTATAATCCATCGATAGCTTCTTAGTAACTTTACAAAGCTTTATATTTGCGCACACACAATCTTTTATTCTTATTATTCATATTGCGTAATCTAGCATTGTGATTTCTTCATTGAACTTCATATTTTCAACATTCAATTCCGACTGACTTATTCCGAGCTATAGATGTTAAATCTACTGTGATCGTAAATTGAATTACGTGGCAACGACCCCAAGCTTAAAGTGTTGTAGTGTTGACAAGACTATTTTTCAACTTTGTGTTGGGAGTACCATTTCCATTTTGCTTACAATAATAGATGATGCTGTCTGTTATCGCAATTATGATCGCTTAACAATCCCAGTTGTTAACCCAAAACAATCTTTATACTTCATGTGAACAAACATTATTTTGATGTGGTATCCATTAACGTTGAATTTGACACAGCTACTAGGTAATAATTAGTTTACCGTGTTTTTTAGTAAATTATCTTTATCTAACTAATACAGGAAGCACTTTTTCCTTGAATATACTCCAACGATTGTAGATATGTTAGGCACCTTATGAAATGAGGTTTGTGCACACCACTTAGTATATTGGCATTAATAACAATATGGTTTTACAAACAGACATGAAGACACTGGGTTCGATCCTTTATGATTGGCTGCTGAATGGATACAGACGAAAAGCCTCGTAATAGGAAAAAAGAAATCTAGTACTTCCTGGTTTTCGATGGTTGTTGAATTAAAATATTTTCATAATGTAAACTATCGAAATCAATCGTTGTTTAGAATTTGGGTTTTAATAGTAACTCAATTGTCTAGTCTGACTCCCTGAGAAGATTTGATACTACTTTTACAAAGACTACAGTAAAAAAAATAAAAGCGTCATTAACTTACCGTATACTACGCACTAAATGTGGATCAATTAAACGTTTCCATGCATCATTAAAAGCTGACATTACAAAATCCCAATGAATACGGTTAGTGGTAGGAAAATATTTTTGAGATACAAATGTTGCACAATTATGTTGTACTTGTGGTGATAAGTGGATTTTTACGGTGATTACACCTCTTTCGTTAGCTCGATTAATAGCTAACACCTATGTATGCATTTGTTGGGGAAAAAAAGGATTTTCAAAGCATTACAATAATAATGATACTAATTGAATCATTTGTAATTCCCTAAGTTCTAGTGAGATATCTTGACCAGTGTGGTGTGAAACAGTTATCCACCATCAGCTTTAATAGTTGGTTCCTCAATATCGTGAAATGATTGGGTTTAGAAATGTAAACTGTCAGTTGTCAACTCGGTAGTTTAAAGGTTAGGCGCCCAATGTGAGACCTTACGGTCTTGCGTTTGACGCTGTGCATGCACACTCCTGAGAAGTCCTGTACTAGGAAAAAACACCAGTCCAGTGCCATCTGGTTTTTATTGACTGTTTACATGAGGTGAATCAATGTAGTATCTTATAACTCTAAACATTTATTTTCAAGTTCAAATGCCGTTTACACATAAAACACATTATATAGCTTACAATACCGACTGACTAACCATTGAGAGCCAACAACTACTGAACAGTTGTTTCGTCTCAACATTGAGCATTCACAATCTTACTGCGGGTCAAATCCAAGGTCTTCAGGCTTTGCGACAAGCGCCCGACTTTCATACCATTTAGTTGGAACTCCAAACAATTGGCAATTTCGAGAAAACATTATCAAATGCCGTTGGTGAGTTATATCTCGCATCCAACATGACTGGGCTTCATTGGTTACGCCAACCCACTACAGCTCTGGGAATTATCTCTCGAAATTAGTCACTAAGAATTGTATATCAACATGAAACAGATATTGAATGGTTTTTGATGATGAAAATTATGAAATTCAACATTCTCAATGCTATAATTTCTCTTACTTCAACCAAACTACTCTTATTGCTTAGTATTCTCTGACACTAATTCACTCGACGAGTCCCAAAATCAGAACACTGTTGAACAGGAACTTAATTATATTACAAATAAAAAAGATTGGATGGATGTAGGATTCATTATATTAAAAACGTTGGCACATTTACAAGATTCCAGAGTCTTCTCAAAGTTTTCGCTGGCACTTATTGGTTGGAAAATAGCTAATCAATGTGCCCCATGACAATCCAAAAACAGCATGCTTTAATACAATCTATATCCCGTTAGCAATATAAAACCCCTTCAGGAATAATTTTATACTAGTCTGAAATTTCATAGCCTTACTATCCACCAATATTTAATGCTGGGATCAGTGGTTAGAGTGCTCGACTTTCAGCTACTAAGCCGCACAGATCCGAACCCCAGTTATGTTTCGGTAATCAGGTAGTACTACTAACCTTCACGACTTAAGTGTAGCTCTGAACCAAATAAATTAATCTGTAACTGGTAATAAGAGGTAAGAACACCCTCAAACTTACCTGATGTGCTAGTATTGATGAGACGGGACGAGAAAAATTTAAATAATTTTTAAATATAACCAAATCATCCTTCTTAGAATTATTATTAGTATTATTCATAGAAGAATGCGAATTCTGAATACATTCGGCATCATCAGCATTCTCATTCTCATCAAAATCAATGGACATAGAGTTTGGAAGATTACCTCCTGACGATTGTTCAACTTTCTTACCACGTTTTGATTTCTTAGCTGTGACAAGTGTAGCAATGTACTTTGAACATCTAATGTGAGGAGAGACAATTAAAATATAAGTGCATACAATAAACCTTGAAAAGTCTCAATAGGTTTCAGGCGGTTATTCAACTTATATATTATTTAGATACGTGTACCCAGTTCAATAAATAACACAGACTAGGAGCATAAAAACAATATCCTTTAAAAATTTAAAGTATAACAATTTTATTCTCTTGTAAAATACCCCTTAATTTATAGTTTATTTATCCTATCTCTATTTTCATTGTTTAAAACGCCTCTGAAAGTCCTAAACAGTCAGTCAGTCTTACCGTCTACGCGTGACTATTTAGTACTTTGCATGTTAAAAATAAGTCAAAGAGGTCAAACTCTAACCAGTAACGAGGTTTATCTACAGTGATGATTAGACTGCAGAGCAGAAATTCACGAGCATTCACTGATTTGTAAGGAGACTGTATAATAATGGCTTTATTCAATATCATAAGGTTAGTGAAATATGAAATCCTAAGCATACAATATTTCAACAAGCTTCTCTTTTCCTTCTTCGAATGTGGAAAAATATATCTGCATACATACATGAAATAAGTACTCGAATTAGATAGAACTAAATGGAATGGTCAACTCCACCTGTAGCTCTTCTAGAGTTACTGCTGGTCCCAAGCCCGGGTAAAGGAGGAGGGATGGGCATGGGGTTAGCGACCCCATCCCGTAGAAAAGCTAACTCGCTAAAAAAACGCTAACCAGAAAAAAATAACTCAAACCATTTAAACTCTGCCCTGGGAGTTGAAGGAATAATTATGACGTCTCATGATGAAAGCCGAAATTCTTCGGAAGTCACGAGACCGATTCACCTTCTAACAACCAGAGCAACACTCTTTATAGGTACATGGAACGTCCGGACAATGTGGGAGACAGGAAAGACCAGCCAAATAGCAATGGAAATGGGGAGATACAACTTGACAGTACTCGGAATCAGCGAAACCCATTGGACACAAACTGGACAACAAAGGCTAGGTACAGGAGAGATGCTGCTGTACTCCGGTCACGAAGGGGAAAATGCTCCACACACTCAGGGAGTTGCTCTAATTCTGTCCAAAGAAGCACGAAATACACTTGTGGGATGGGAATCTCATGGACCCAGGATGATCAAAGCATCATTCAGAACAAAGAAGCAAGGGATCACAATGAACGTTATCCAATGTTATGCACCTACCAATGATAGCAACGACGATGATAAAGATCAGTTCTATGAAAGGCTGCAATCAATTATAGAGAAGTGCTCACGAAAGGACCTCACCATCCTGATGGGAGATCTAAATGCTAAAGTTGGAGTGGACAACAAAGGATATGAAGATGTAATTGGACGACAGCCCCCAAATGCCCTGGTACGGCAGAGAGTAGGGAGAGTCTGCTCTCCCTCTCGAAATGCTCTCATATGGTCACGCGAATATATAGCCTCTGCCAGGGAAGTCCTACTCATTGCCTTGTCACAGCAGGGGTGTTGCTCACAAAAGTGAGAGGACGAAAAGCGAATGTCCGGCGCTTTAACCGGGTTGGTGGATGTGGAGGATCCACCTAGGGGAGTTGGAAAACCCTGATTCCAAACCAACGGTTCACATGGGCTCCAGTATCCTGAGGGAATGAATAGCGTATGAACCAACTGTTGGTCATCGGCTACCATGGGACTGCATCTCCTTACGATGCTCCACTGCCTTGTGGATTAGACCTTTAGGTCAAAGGCTCAACATCCATTGGCCGGATACTATCAGCAACAGCGTTTTATGGGAGAGGACGAACCAGCTTCCAGCTGAAGAGGAAATTAGGAAAAGACGTTGGAAGTGGATTGGACATACATTAAGGAAATCACCAATGTGCATCACGACTCAATCCCTAACTTGGAATCCGGAAGGGAAGCGGAAAAGAGGAAGGCCAAAGAACACACTACGCCGGGAAATAGAAGCAGATATGAAAAGGATGAATAGCAACTGGAAAGAACTAGAAAGGAAGGCTAGGGACAGAGTTGGATGGAGAATGCTGGTGAGCGGCCTATGCTCCTCGACGAGGGGTAACAGGCGTAAGTAAGTAAGTAAATGGAATGGTCAACTTTGACTCATGAGACATAAAGTATCCAACCACTGGTAGTGTTTATTATTCGGATTAAGATCATGTAATCTATATCTATAAACATGACTAAGAATAACAATATTTTCACGCTCCCCTAACCACAACACACTTCGACGACAAATACCCCATGATATAGAAGTAGACTGGAAAGAAGCTAGGGCCACCTAATCGAAAATCTGGCATCAGTTCATCCGGTCACTTATTTATTTATTTATTTAAACACATAAATATTGGTACAAGGAAGCACCAGATACATATGCGCCATACAAATCCCATTCGATTTGCTTGAGGGCTGTGATACTGCTCAGGTGCCCAAACTTAAGCAGGTATCCGGTCACTAAATGTTGGGCTAAGCGATGTAGGTAGAAGAAGACCACCTGGCTGGGCTCAGCGCAACAACTTTGATCAATGGGTCTTAGACTTCGGGTATCATGCCTCGGAAATGTTTACAGTGCGGCAGATGTAGTAACTCGTTATCTTCTCCTCAATTCTCGAACCATACTCCAACGATTTAGTCTTTCTTTTATTACTGTTACATTATTTCAACCTCTTTCATTATTCGCATTGCGTTGAGCTAATCAGATATGGCAAATAGGGTTAAAATATATGAGTCAGACCCTTGGTTGATGTATATGTCTGTTTAAATTACTTCGATCGGTGAAGATTGACAGCCACAACTGGTTTACTACTTTTCCTCAGTACAGCGCGTTTAACTTTAGAGGGCTAACATACGCAAACAATGCTTTGAAGGCAACCACGACCAAAAGCTTACACCCTACATATGTCTTCTACTTTCATAGGTCGTTTTACAGCTATGGAGAAATGAAAGGCTACTTAAACATAGTGTTGGATCTGATTATTTGCAAGAAGAAACTTTGACTGGTCTGTAAGCTAAAACTTGAAGTCATGGAGATTCTCACAAATATAATTTGATATCTCATACTTTAAACTGTATGAGAATTAAATGAAGCTGTCATTTTAATATATTCTATCCGTGAAAAGATATGAAGAATGTTGACCCTAAATGAGTTCTTATTCAGAAATTTCGAAGATAAAGAATCCTGTTACTTAGAAATATAGTTTAAAAGATATTACAAATAAACAGAACTGGCTTACAACTCCTCAGCCTTTCGTATTATATCCAAATCCTTAGCAAAAATATCAGCAATGATGTGAGATACAGCATTTTCGAGGGCCGTTTTCGATGTAAAAGTCTCTATAATAGAAAAACAGAATATAAGATTCAATATTGATGTTCCTCACACTAATACAAGAAAATACATTTCAAGAGTGAAAAGAATAGTTTTGCAAAACCATTTTGAACGTGGAGCGAATGGGCTGCGATATGCATCGTAATCCTAATTTCTATTTCTTAACAGCTACCACGCTTTAAAATTCATGGTCTTTAGATAGTCTGGGAACCTTAAACAGATCTCTTTAAACGTAATTTCAATACTCTTAAGGATTCGACACAATGTTATCCATCAGCCAATCACAACTTCATTTTTTATTTTGTTTCGGCTTTCTTTCGATACTCGAAAGCATCGGTGGATTATCGCTCTGTGACAAGAAACATTGTAGACCTAGAGGATTGATATTGACTTCAAAACCATTCTAATGAAATACAAATACTTTAAGTATGATTAAATAAGCTTACTTTTAGCTTCTGGAGGGGCAAGACTATACATATCAACACACCTATTGGAATGAAGTATGTCCAAAGCAACAGGTTCCAGATTAACAGCTTTTGCTCGACCTGCGAGCGTGCGTGGACCCTTAGATTTGAATGGATCTGTCTAAGAAAGTCCTATTAAAGGTTAAAATCTCATGAACTTCCCAGAAGCTTAATATCTTCAGTTGTTTTGCATTTCATTAGCTGTTGCGATAATTCATTGGTTAGTAATCCACTCTTATCAAAAAACTGAAGTGACTTCTCGATTTTATCAACAAGCATTCTACAGGCATCTACACTAAGAAAACTACTGTCACAGTTACTTGCAGTCATTCATCTTTTCCTTCAGCCTATGTAACACTGTTGGTTCTGCGCCTCCAGTTATTTCTTTCCGATAGCGTGCAATAAATGGTACAGTATATCCATTTTCAAACATTGGAATCACACGGCTGACTAGATTCCGATCGATATTTGCAGCTTCAGCCACTTGGGTAGTTAAATCGATCTCCATTCTTATGGGGTTGACCATCTTAAATCGAATAAAAAAGAAACCGATTTGTAATAAATTAAATATCACTTTGAAAACATCAAGATAAAAGCACGCTTATATGAATGGTCAGGTAAGTTTAGTGTTGAATGTGGAATGATGCTTAACTAAAACTTTAGGAATGAAATCAACGAATGAGCAAAGAAAACAAGGCCATTTACTCTGTGGAGCTGAACGGTACTAACTGTTGGCTACTTGGAATTAATGTAATTACACGAATGAGATGACTAGTCTGGAAATGTTGATTTACATAAACGTATACTGTAACCGAGCATTGAACCATCGGATTCACCGATCAAATTCTATTTCCTAACTTATGCTTAGATATGTGATTAACTATAATCCCTTGTATGTATGTATTTAATAATGCCTTTATTTTTTAGTCTATTGATCTGTATGTTAGTCCTATTCTATCGTTTCACTAACTTGATAAAATTTAAGATAAATATCTGAAGACTTTGGATACATTCCGATTCAATCCAGGCTGGACATGTACAATGCAATTATTGATAATTCTTCTACAATTGCAAGAAATCTTATGCTAGTGAAATTCTAATCCTGACACTATTACCATAAGGTCTAATTATTGTATTAATCAAGTACTATTACTAGTTCAGCCTAGTGTGTCCTCCATCCACTCTTATTTCAATTCAATCTCATTTTCATGCACACGCTAACTGCCCTAAGAAACTTAAATATACTCTCTGTGATATTGCGATCCAAATTCCTAATCTTCTTGGTATAGTCCATAGGGGGTAATAATACTAATACAAAAACGATACACCTGAAACAATCAGGTTCATGAAATTTCGTGCACAACTTGAGAAAGATACCAATTAACAACTTTCTAAAGAAAAACTTCGAAGCAACTTCATTTACAGAAAATTTAGGAAGATTTAAATCCATAAGTTTTGTATGTTATCTTCACACGAGAGATTGAACAAGTTCAGAGGAACATGACTCACTCGACAACACACTGATGTAGTGTACTCGAACATAACAAATCATGATGAATAAACGATTGGTTTCCAACGCTATTTTATTCTGAGGTGAACACACTTAGACGTGTTTTGAGATCCCTTCTATAACCACTTAGCCCTGGTAAAGAATCAAAAAAATTAATCTGTACTTATATAGATGGAACTTCTCACGACACCTACGTCGACAAAAACTAGTTCAATAGGACTAAGAAATCACTAATAAATATCAATATATTCTTAAACTGGGGGAAAGCGCTGCACATATTAGACCTTATTATATTTCAGCAGCACTGTAGTGCAAGTCCAGGAATTCATAGTCAGCTTATCGAACAAATGTGAAGTAATTTGATGTAGATCTAGGCGAGAAGTATACAATTTGGTGATTACTAAGGTATGAATTTATATACTTTCGCAACATGGGTAACTTTTAGGAAAAATGTCTAATAATTTTTCAAGAGTGAGAGAAAAAGGAGAGTCTCAGTTGCAGCGCCGCCTGAATCAACACCAAATTTCGTTAGGCAATGTCCGCTTTATTTCCCCGTCCTTGTTTAATTGGGAAATACGCCGAGCCAGAAGCGGTCATGTACAGCTAAATAAATTTGCTTTTTTCCTCTCTCCCTAACTTTTAGACATTTTCGGTACCACACTGTTGATTATTGGGGAAAATAAACACTCAGAATAAAGAGATGCTACATAGCTAAAACATAAGTTGTAAAAGTCCCTGGGACACAACAACTTCAACGTTAGTGCGCTCAACGACCCTGAAAGCTCAACTTCACCTTTACAATGATCAATATCCTTGTTATTAGTCAGCGTAAACATTAATTCCTTTAGACTCGCATCATGATAATAAAGTCTAAAGTCTTTGGTGGAGTATAATGAAGGCGTTCTGGTCCTAAAAACCTGGCATTTGTTCGTGGTGTTATTCTTATGATAGTATGGTGTAGCTGTAAATAATTCCCCAAAATCAATAACTTTCTAAGTGTTCGATATTGGATGCTGACCACGTTGTTTAAGCGGACGTGTTTAACTGAAGGCTTTTGGTCATGCATCCGTACCAGATCACGTTTCAACTCGGCGTGGGACACTGCTCCTACGTTTCTATAGCCAGCTTATAGTAAAGGTTCCTCGATATATTGGTAACGTATCAAATATGTCTTTCCTACCTCTTCTCGTCTGACTTCTGATTTCCTCTGGCCGGGAACAATCGATTATAGAAGATACTACTGGTTGCTAGTTGTAAAACTAGAATATCCGTTGTATCCTCAATAGTTTCAGTTTGGGAAGGACAGGAGTGAGGGTGTTACATGTGCAGTAGTTTGGCCTACGTTAGTCCTAGTAATGATGGCCTCTCAGTTGATCCAACCCTATTTTGAATACATCAACAGACGCAGCTTCAATCACATATCCGATACAAATTTATCATTAAGTAATTTGAAAACTGTAATCAATTCACCCCTGGTTCTTCAATATGATAATGGGAATAGGTTTAGTTTAGCTAGTCGAGCATCATACACAAGCTTACCTATTCCGGAAATAAGCTTAATCGCTGTTTTCTGGAACTTTCCAAAGGATTACTGTCTTTTTTAAGCAGGAGCTAGCCGCTTGTATGCATTACCCAAGTTTAGGACGCACGAATACTATGTACAAAGTCAAGAAAGTTTTAGCGTCGGCATGGCTAAAGGCCCTACGTATTGACCATAGGATTCTAAAACCTTTGGTGGTTATTACACGGCAGTGTGTAGTAGTTTTTAAGTCTTGGCTAGCGATGACTCCCTATTCATTGTGTATCTGGACAACAGGTAGCTCAATGTTACTCATCATGTATGTATTATAGTGAGCGAAAACACAATTGGAGATAATTAAGCGTATTTGAACACAAAATTGATAGTCTGAGAACCGAACAGTAAATACTTAATGTACAAAATGTTAATCAGTTGTCTCAAACTTCACTGTTCCTTTTACAAATATTAGTCAATTGTCTCACACTTCATCATTCTGTCATCTCCACACCAAATATTCTTTGTTCTCGTTCTCTTTTGTTTGATCCTCTTAACCTTCTGTCTCCAAGCATTTCACTTTCGAATGATGATGCATATTACTCACATCTGTCGATATCAGTAGCATACATTACAGCATCTGTACCTTGATGACCGATATGCATCACAAAGCACTTGGAAGTATTTATCAGTGACAGCCAAGTTTGAGATCATTTAGATAATTTCTCCAGGTCATTTCGAAGCTCTAAGCTATCATGTTAACCATTTATCTTACTCCATATGTTGACATCGTCAACACATTTACTACGACCGATGATGAAATTAAACGAAGAAGGTTATCTACATGCAACAAGAAGAATAATGACCCCAAAACTGTACCCTGAGGCACCCCATGAAGCACAATTTCCCAGCTAGACAACTTGGAGTTCACCAATACTCTTTGTTGATGCTCAACTAAGAAGTCCTTTATCCACATCAATAGATTGCGTCTAGCTCCAGCATTTCTTAACTTAGATAACAGTCATCTGTGAGAAAGTTTGTCAAAAGCTTTGCTAAAGTCAATTTAGGCTACGTCCATAGGTTAAGTTTGGTTTCTAAGAGCGCATGAAGTATGTTTACAGTTTGTCTAGGGCAATAGAGAAATTGCCTAAACGTCTGGAAATGAAATCAACTTCGGCTCGCGCTTTTGACAGAGTGTAGTGAGAATTATCATTTCTGTCATCTTTGTAAGGAATAGCTGTTGAAACACATCGTCCTGTGTGTTTTCCGCTGGCTTTTCGGTGTCACTGGAAAACTTTAAGTGTTCTGAATTTCTACAGTTTATGTGATACTCCAAGAGTCGGCGCTCATTTTCTAAACCATTTTTGATTTATCAATTTTCGCTACTGCTACTCAGGTCGGTGTATTCCATCCGGCGTGTTTGCTTGCTTTATATGATAAGGTGTTAATCCATTTTGTTTTGAGTATCAAATAGCCGAAACGAGAGTAAGGGGTTTTTAGCCACCTGTTTTTAGCGACCTGTGATCTTCTAACTATCCTCAAGCTCTCTTCTAAATGTTATTTACGATATTATTGACAGCACTCAAAGAATACAACCTCCTATTTGTGATTCCTTTCGGTACGATGGATAACCCTATTCCATTAAAGAGTCAGACTAATACTGAATGTCCATTTGTTGTGAGTACTAGACATGCATTCCAAAAGATTTCCAGACCGAAGCACATGACAACCTGAGATAGTTTCAGAGATCTTTTCGGTATATTTCAGATTTGTTGTTAAAAATATGCCATAAAACATTAGATGACTTGGATACATTATATCTTGAGAGAAAGCAGACGATACATTGAGAAGCCGGAAATCAACAATCAATGTGTTATCTATGTCTTTTGTTTTGATCGTAAAAGGGAGTCTGAGGGCCATGATCAGAGAGTGAAAGGGCGAATGTCTATTTTTATTGTCACTTCATTATAAATCAAGGTTCACCGGTTGCGAAGCAATGCTACGCTGGCGATATGACCAGTACTGAAATATTGTAACAATCTACGGATTTCAGCTTTCTTATTCAAATTATTTTTGGATAACTTTCTTGAATTTCGAGTGGTTCATACGTCATGGAAATCTCTAGACCGATAGCATTCATCATCACAATGTAACACTTTCACACATAGTAAGTTCATATTTTCCTTCAAAATTTATATCAAAATCTTACTGAATGCACCTGAGCTAATGTCTCTATTTTCTATTTTGAGTAAGCGATAAAGACAAGCCGCAGCTTGTGGATCTGTTGTATACTGTCATTCTGCTCCATTTTTCAAGTGTTGTATTTTTTACATTTGAAAAGTAACAGCATCATACTATACTCAGTGATTACATACTGATTTACTGTGAAGTCAATAGGTGGAGTCATGACATATTTGACGGGGCTGTGATTGTGTGTTCACTAAGAAGCCAAGAGAAATCTTTGGCCGGTGTACCATATAGTGTACCTTTAAGTTACCCGTATTCATTCAGTGTATAAGAGTCATTGCTTGCATATCATAGAGCACTCGATTAAGCAACTATGAGACGCAGAAACGGTTAAGACATACATAACGTGCATCCGTTCACGGACTACCGTGATATGTCATGATGGCTGTAATAGGTTGTACAGTGGCTGGGCTGAAGCAATCTGTTCATTGTTGTAATGTATACACGGACCTTGGTCTGTAGGTTTTTCATGAAACGGACTGAAATGTGTACTGCAACACCTCCAAGTGTCACTTCTTACGTGTGAACCGGATGCTAAGAGGTACATATTTAATAGATGTGTCTCGGCAGTTAACTCGATAAATCAAAATAGCATCACATTTGCTAATTTATTCATGAGTATCTTCATTCACAGCAGAATTTCAAACAAACATTTACACTAATATTCCTTTTAAAACTCTCATATTGATACTGTTGGGCCGTAATCTTTGTTGCTTTTTTAAAATCAAGGGAAAACAAGTAACCGATAAATAGTGGAAATAGTTGTGGGACTAAATTGAACGTCCAACTTGCTTTTTAGAGTTTAATGAGAAGGTGTTATTTGTATGGCCATCCGTAAATAGTTCCTTAGTTACATGATTCTAACGACGAGACAGTTTATAAAGAAATTCGCTGGAGCTTATTTCTGTTCCATTTTAAATAAACAAACACTATTGGCTCTAGTCAAAAGTACGAAACAAGTAAATGAACAAATCACATGATAGATATCTTTTTTGTTATGTCCCAAACAGTAGAACTTTACTTAATCCAAACCGAATAACGTTAATACACATTTAAATGGTACAGAGCAAACCATGCATTACGCTTTTAGCACATTCAAAACCTAAGTATGGTAATGTCAAGTTATTCCTGACCAGGGTGAATTTTCGTGACCTGTCACTGTACAGATTTGTACGTCAGAAGGTGGGCATGAAAAATATATTCATTTGTAATATGAAGCAGAAGGTTGAAATCGGGTGTGTGCATAGATTTTGTGAAAAATAAGTGGAGTAAAATGTGGTTCTTTGGAAAAAGAGTCCACGTTCGATGAATATTCGTGCCCTCCTTCCTATTGCAGGGGGAGTGATTCAGCAGTATATGAAAAGCTTCAGCTACGCGACTCTCTTTTTAGTCGGAAAAACCTTTGTGAATTATTCCGACATTTCTAATATAAATTTCGTGATTATTGAAAATAGCACGTACCGCTACTGCTGATTTAACCTGTAAATTGTCCGATTCTACAGGATTATTAAAAAAGTTTGTTTTATATGACTTAGGTGTTCCTTGAAACCAGTCGAGATCTCGTGGGATTACTCTCTAATATAGAACATATCACAATCGACACACCATAATCTGCAGACACCATTTTGAGTGGAAGTAAACGGAATTTTAACGTTTCTTAAAATGTTAGTTGTCTTATAAAAACTTCAATTTCGCAAGCTTTTAATATCCTTTGTAATTCATCTGTTGTACCTTGACGGTAGAGTAAAACCACAGTACCAATCCAAGATATTTAATTAGGATTGTTATTTATGCCTTTTGAACTTGTATTACTATATTTCAGTCATTTATTTACTCTGAAGAGGTAGTTTACATTGGGTAACGAACGTCAGAAATAATTTTTTTCTACTCATTGGTATATAACAAAAAATATATTCATTATAAACTTTCTACTCAATGCTGGACTTATTAGAATCCCTCAAGTTCATCCTTGGCACCGGGACTTCCAAAAAAATTAAATTTTGCTAAGAAAAGACGAATTTGTGCA